CCCTCTTCAGATGTAATTGTACTGGCCCGACGAGAATTTATCGAAAGCCACGTATGCTCGCCACCTCCTCTTCTGAAGTCTAAATATTTAAATTAACCAATCGGCCTAGCTGTATTTGTTTTTGAGACAGTCACCAATGCTGTAGCTGAGTTGCACTTGAGGTTTGTCTGCTTCTGCTATGCTAAGATTCAGCAAACCATGACTCTCGCCGCCTGGTGTGCGCTGGCAGTTTCCTGGCATCTGGTTCCCCGCCGGCAGATGTGTTTGCGATCCCGATGAATATACAGGTCGTGTGCATAGCCGTCCAATCATCCTCCACCTTCTGATCCCTTGTTGTGCTGATGTTATTTAAAATCCTGGTAGGGTGTTTTCTGTGGACCACGAGTGTGGCGGTACGCCCATGTGCAGGTTCGGCAGTGTCAGCCACCTACGCCATCTCATGCTTCCGTTCTTCTTGGTCATGCCTTGACAACGGGCTAGATGGAGACAGAGGTGATTTTTACGCGAGTGAGAGGTCGACACATCTGCGTAGCGCTGCTCAATTGGATTCTGACGGAAAACAGTCACGAGCGATTGTGAGTCTCCTCTTTGAACTACCTTTCTGCGCTCATAAGGTCGAACCCAGTATTTTTGCCCAGTCTCACCCGCATAATCGCAGGGGCAGAGAGTGCAAGAAATATGGTAGGTTGCACTCACACGGTTGACATCTTCGAGCAGGGCGGCCTAACTGCCACTCTGAACCAGTGTCGCGTCACTCGAAACCCCTCCGCTGCTTTGCCTCTAGTTGTTCAAAAGGAAACCAATCCGAGTTACATAACCAGGGAAAATCGCGACCAATAGGAAGAATCGCGCCGTCACAGTAGCCCAGATGTGGCCACTTCAGTCGGTGGGCGTCGGCTTACGCGGCGCCTACGTGACCTCCGATTGGCTTGCCGCAGCGAAGTGGCACAGCTGCTCCCTGGTTGGTCGACAGTCTTTTGGTAGAAAACGAACGCCATCACTTTGGCGACCAAGTACGCGTCGAACCTAATGACATTTAAAACCGGCATACCTCTTTCCTTTATGAATGAGACCTGAAGAAGACGGAAAGAACAGAAGAATTTGGACGTCTGATATCCGATTTATACAGGCATCGAAAATCCAGCATCAGTGCCTCGGCAACAGGGATGGTAAACATGCCGCAAATGTATAACTGCTTCTCTCCCGAGGTTTATTTGATCAATTCAAAGAAGTTCGACACAGTGGACTAGTACTCCAAACGCGCGGCATTGTTGCGTTGGACCTGAATAGGTGTTCAGCGTAAATGCGATAGGCAAAATAGATGGAGGGCTTCATTTCGTGTGGGTCAGTTAGCCCCAACTTATATCTGATCGGTCTAACTCAGCCTTAGCTATGGTACCACCTCTGTTGGGATAAGTACTATCATTACTATTTCTACAAAGAATACTACAGCCACTATCAGTACTACTACTACAAAAGTAGTAGTAGTAGTACTACTGCGGAGGAGCCATTCTGCAAGCCATCCGATCGGTCGCAAACACAGTTTCATCTACGTAGTTGCTCTGTCCGCAACTGCACCAGACCCGTGAGGAACGTCTCGGAAGCAGTCAGTCGCCTTCATACTCCACTTGAATTTTGGGTTGCACGCAGGTCCGAAGAAACCATCAGGCGTCAGGCAATGAAACCGAAAGACCCGTTGCCACGGCAAGAAACGTGTGGAATGGTTGACCGGACTTGGCGCAGTTGCGGACAGAGCAATTACGTCGGAGAAACTAAAAGATTATCCTGGACGCGCATGGCTGGGCACGCAGCAGCGGTGAGGAGGAGGAGGAGGAGGAG